TCGCTAAATCCTTCCAATCACTGGGTTGAACTGCTACGGCTGAATGTGGGAAATCGGGTGGAACGGCTGTTTGCAGGGAAATCGGACAAAGCGCTTGAGAGGACATGCAGCTGATGAAGATGATGCTCGCGCTGCGGTTCGCTAAATCCTTCCAATCGCTGGGTCGAACTGCTACGGCTGTTTGTGGGGAAATCGGACACAGAGCTTGAACGGACATGCAGCTGATGCTGATGATGCTCGCGCTGCGGTTCGCTCAATCCTTCCAATCACTGTCGGTCGACCTGCTACGGCTGTTTGTGCAAGCTTCTGTGACTTGGCCGCGGCAGCACACTTCCAGGGCCACGGAGGGCTCTCCACTCGGCGTGAGGCTCCGAAGGGTAAGAGTTGAAAGAGCGTCTGGTCAGGCGCCCATGGCCTGGTCGCACCTGAAGCCTCCGCTCCTTGGTGTCGAGACCAATTAGCTTAATTAGTCTAATTTCCGAGAGTTCTACACCCGGAGCATGATGACTAGCCCCGACGGGCTAAAACATGTAATGCAACCGGCTATCCACTCCGCGTACCTAAGCAAAAACCGCACGACAACTGACTCCCAACACTGGCCTTGGCTCTAGATCAGCTCATTCTCGGGCTCCAACCTCTAAGAATTACACCTCCTTCCTCCGGAAGGCCACGGTGGCAGCAGTGCTCCATCCTGGCCGAGACCTAAGCACCGGCAGCGGGTTCCATGGCCGCGTCTTCTAGCACTCCTTTATGCTAAATGAAACATCGGAGGTTGCGCTTCTAGGGACTATATAGGCACGTATAGGGCTTATAGGGGTTATTAGGATGAAAGAGTTTTTATAGAGGTTAAGGGTTTAGGGTGTTTGGGTTCAGGGATTATCCCATCCTTGGAGGAACGTCTCCGGTGTGCTTACGAGCCAAGAGAACGGAACGATCTCTGCAATGCTTCAACGTGTGCGTCCTCTCTTCGCAGCCGGTGCTAGCGAGCTTCTGCAGGTCGATCTTCAGGGACATCATACAGTGCATCATCAGCCACGGAGCACCATTACATGATTAGAGCATGGGCGGCCGTGGCCGAAACATGCAACTCCGGCATGAGTTGAACCATGAACGCAAAACAAATGATCAACTCCGTGCCGAAGATATGCACTCCGGGCGCTGCAGATTATCTGCTCAGCTGCGTGGAATTTTCAGAACCACAAGCAGTGCTCCAGCAGCTGTCGACGTCCAAGAGGGCTGCCCAGCAGCAAAACATTTGGAATCTGCAGCAGTTCGGTGCAGAGGCAAGACCTGCAAAGATCTGCAAAGGCTTGATGCCCGACTTCCAAGACGACTGTTTACACCTCTACACATACACAATCATCTTCGTCACTCACTGAAACAACATTATCCGGCCAGTCGCTGTGACTATGAGTTGTAGATTCGGCACCGAGTGCAGAGTGATCAAGGGACCAAGGGGTCCCAGATGGTCCGAGCTGCCTCCCTGGCACAGCAACGGAAAGGTCATCCACTGAGATGAATTCGCCGGCGCCCGTGCTAAAGGGCGCAAAACCCTGTACATCTGGAGACCGAAATCAACAAAAAAGTGTGCATGCGAACTAGCAACATCTTGGAGCGTGCGGCCCTGGTCCATTCTTGATGTGGTACTATGCTACGTTCGGAGCTGAGAGGGTCCAGAGCCGCCAGTCAAACCTTCAAGAGGAGCTGTGCTACCTGTCTGGGACGGCATGCGAACCGCTGTTTCTTGCCCTGAATTCGAACTGCTTTAAAAAATTCCGTGCACGGGTCGCCGGTCCGAGATCACCGAACCATGCACCCGCTTGCCTTCATAAGGCTGCCTTATTGCTGACTGCATCGAGGTTTCAGCGACAGGATTCTGATAGTCCACTCAAGCTAGGGCACCGTCCGTGTGCCCATCGCCAGTTGTCGAGGACGACCACCTCATGAAATCTCTTTACAGTCTGCATAACTGCATGGTTGCTGCAGACAGCCCCAAACCCTAAACCCTGTAGGGGTTTCCTCTAAAAGGCAACCCTATAACCTACACCTCTTCGGCCAAGGAACATCGCCGGGCTCCATGAGGATCTGGTGCGTTAGCGCCTCTTGGGTGCTGCGCCTCAAGGCCTCCAAGTCTTTCGAAGAGAACTCCTCCAGAACTGAGGGTGTATCGGTTTCAGGGCCTTACAGTAGGGTTTCATTGAGGGCATAGATAGAGGGTTATGGAATGAAGTATATGGGTTATAGGTTTTAAGGCCTTAGGGTTTTACATAGGGTTATAGAATAAAGTATATAGGTTATAGGTTTTAGAATAGGGGCATCACGAATGGACTGCGAAGTCGGTCCTCCCCATTCCCGAATTGAGAATGGAAGGGTGCCAGGCCGTCGTTCTCGTTGAAAGATCTCTGATTGTCCAGGATGGCCTTTTTTGTTTCGACTCTCACACTAGCACAAGGCGGCAAGGCTCCTCACATGTAGGGTTCAGGGATTACGGTTAGGGGTTTAGGGTTATCTCGGGTGCCCAACTGCTTTAGGTGGCATGGCCTATTCTTCTACTTCTACAGTTTCCCGACGGCGGCAAAGACTCGTCCAAACGAGGACCCTCAGAATAATCCCATCAAGCCCTCGGCCGGGGTGCGTTCAGCATGTAGCCGTCCGAGACGGCAGGGACCGTCCACTCCATGAGAGCGGTGTCCTCTTGACACAGAGGGTTGGGATGGCTCTCAAAGCAGCTGCGCTCTTACGCCGTCACCTCCCCGGCGTTTAAACACTTCCCTTTTCCGAATCACCAGGCTGCGCCGGACCTGAGAGGCTAGCTTCACCATACTTAATATACTTATAACAGCCCCACTCTCATCTTTTGGGAGAGCTGTGTCCTGGAGGTGCGGCTTCAGCGTCGACCCAGCCGGGCCTCCCAAGATGGTGTCCTCCGCGGCCTTCTTCTGAGCCTCCGCGAAGCTGGAGGTCCCATACTTCGTCTGCCAGTGCCCCGTGGCGTAGCTCCAGTTGCCCTTGGTCCTGTCGCCCAGGACGCGCTGGTAGGTCACGTTGTAGGCCCGGAGCTTGGCGGTGAAGTCGGGAAGTGCCTCAAGCAGATGCCCAATGTCCCAAAGTAGAGTTCCTTATAAGGTCGGAAACTTCCTCGGGCAGTGCGAAAACACAGGGTCCAGAATCGCAAAGTGGGAAGAGACGCAACGCTAAACCCTAAGCGACTGTTCAGGGCGGAAGGCAGAAGGTCTTCTCTTCTCCGATCGAGCTTTTTCGGATGCAGAGGGTGGACAATGCGAACTCATGAAGCTGCTGGAGGAAAGAGGCAGGTCTGAGTACATAAGCCAACTTTCTCTGCAATCGTTTGATCAGTTTGCTGTCTTTGAACAGAGCATCTCTCCGTGCTTGCAGTGAAATCGCTTCAGGAGAGGGGTGACTGTTAGCAGAGCGGCAATTGCATCAACAAAGCAGGTGTCTTAAGCCAGTATTGTATGTATCTCGATATCTCTGCTGACTCTACTGCTCGACGGGACGTGTCGGCGTGAACGTGATTTCTCTGTCTCTGCCTGTCTGCTCCTGTGAAATCGTCTCCAAACAGTTGAACTTCCCTTCTCTGCTCCCAGGCAGTCGCATGATGAGAATAAGTATCACGGTACCATAACGAACAGATGAATACCTCGGCTTCTCTACTCTCATCGACGGCTTAGTTTCAAGCTGACGCCTTTGTCGATGCTGCACAGCGCTGTTTCATTCGAGTGACAAGATTGAGGATAACCCTACAACACCACCGTCCGGTTGAGTCGCTCAAGGAAACCGTGAAAAGGGTGGGTTGACGATGAGTCATTACTGTTGAACAGCATCTCGTTTTTCTGTACTCATGAAATGGCTTTGCGAAGTGACAGCTTGTCATGCACTGGTGGTAGTTAATACGGCTGTTGCGCTGGTTGCCTTCTTTCTGATCTGTCCCGACGTTTTCTGCGACCCTCTGACATGGCAATCGGCCTGAACGATCTTCGCATTGTCGAAGAGCTCGAGGTGCCCTCCACTTTTCCTTACTAGTCACATGCATCATCGCTAGGCCCACTCAAGCGAGCTACTGCACATGGCACCATTGCGTCAACCAAGTGACGCCTGCTCCCAACAGGAGAACGCCACAAAGCGCGGAACCAGGAACAAGTACCTGAGCCGCCGGCGGGGCTGTTTGTTCAATGCAGCACCCAAGGAAACCAATGTCTGTGTTCCGCCCTCTCATGACCCCGATGTTTCGCTTGGGTGCGACTGCTCGCTGTGCGGCGGCACTGGCATAGTGTTGGTCCTCCCTGCATTTACCTCAGGTAGGGCAGCCAACATCGCATATCTAACCAAAAGATGTCGATCGCTTTGACCTCTGATGTCAGGAACTTGGAAGCATCTTCGCAAAAGTCGCTGCTGTCCCAAAACGCGGGCTTGTCCAAGATCATTTGCTTCCGGCAAAGACATTCCGAAGCTGCTTAGATTGGGGCATGCTGGGGCTGTTTTTGGAGGAAACTTTTCGGACCCCACCCCAAAAGGGAACATCAAGATCTTCATTGCGCGAGCATCTGGCACGAGCATTCAAAACTTTGTCTGCTGAGGGCCCAAGCCGAAAAAACACTGTAAGACCAATAAAGCCTATCAGCCCTACTAGCACAACCCCAAACCCTATAACCACAACTCCCACATTAGGCCTTATAACCCCAAACCCTACGTGAAACCCTATAAACCCCAAACCTATAACCCCCAAACATCCCCAACCCTCTATAACCCTATAAACCCCAAGTCCCATAACCCCAAACCCTACATGTGTCCGCGCAGATGGTGACCGTTGCTTTCCCTGGCCGAGGCACGTCGTAGACGCCCTCATAAATCTCGGCTCGGTTCACGGATCCCGGCCCGTTATACCTGGGCTTCGTCAGAAATGTAGGAGCCCCAAAATCCCTACTCTACCTGGGCACGCAGAAATGTAGGAGCCTTGATTTAAGAAACCTCAGGTTTAGAACCTCAAGGGGAACCCGAAAAGGGATCTATGAGGGTTTAGGGGGGCAGGAGCCCTGATTCAAGAAACCTTAGAGGTCTTTATTCGGGCTTTAGGGTTTAGTGTTTAGGGGGCTCTTTATACGGAGATATAGGACCAGGGTTTCTTGATTGACTATAGGAGCCTAAGATTGAAACGATAGGGGTCTTGATGAGGGTTCTTTAATCTGGATCCTACTATTTTGGGGTTATAGGACCAGGGTCTCTTGATCAGTTTCCTACAAGAATCATGCTGCTGAGATGACTGACAACGCCCCCCCCAATCTTCTTTGTGGGGCTCGGGCGCCTGCTGGGCTTGGTTGGCTTGCCCATGCTTTCGGATGCTGTGTTTATGGAGTATGGTTGCGCGAACAGCGTGTGCACGTGGCATTGTTGCGCGAAAAACCTTCCAGTGTACAGGTCTCTCCGCTTCAACACGGCAATCAGCAATGCAAATCTGCGAAGCTCGAGCAACAAATTTGGCAAGATTCTAGAATCCAATATGAAGTGGTTGCAACCCATACATGCGCGCAGAATCGATCTGCAAAAGCATCGCTGGTATACTTGGCACATGCTCAGGTTTTGGTTTGATGGCCTCATGAACTCAGAATTCTACGGCTGCAGCCAAGAGGACTTAGGCAACCCGTCCAGGTGAGTTAAAGAGTCTGAAAGTTCTTTTGGGGGAGCCTTCTCTACTTAAACCTCGAAGGCCAAGCTCAAGGCGGCCAAGGCGCTCTTGGGTGGAACTTGGGTGTCCTGCCGCCTGTCTCTTCCGTGTTTTTCTGTGTTACAAGAAGTGTTTCGACTTTCACTCTCGCACGCAGCAAGCGGGGTTTAGGGTTGGGACCTTGGGGAAGCCGCCCTTTTCCCTCGCCCGGCCTGCCACGCAGCCACGGCAAGCTGTTTGAATTCGTCGGCACTGACAACTTGACCCGTCGTCTTGATTAACACCTGTGGCTTTGCAGTGTGAGATGAAGCTGCCGGAGATTCGAGTGGAATGCCACTGAAATCCACAAACGCAATCGAAACAACTTCCCGATGAGTCCAGCTATTGACCGCTAGTGCTCACGAGGCTCTCGAGTACAACGTCAGTTTTCTGCTTCTGTCAAGTTGCTGCCCCGTAGTTCTTGAGAGCCCACCCGGCTGCTTCAGCATCGCCGCCTTCATTTTTCGGACCACTTTGGGATGCCGCTGGGGGGTGGAGTCTGCTGATTTTCTGCCAAGAAGCGGGCGGCGTGGGGCAGAGCGGAGGCGGTGCAGAGCATGGCCATGAAAAGGACCTGGCTGTCATCCCTAAACTCTAGGAAATCCTAAGAAACCCGAAGTCTGTGCGTGTTTGGGTTGTGCCAAGTGGGGGCGAAGGCAAGGCCTTCTGAAGGACTCCCCCATGGCAGATACTGCCACGCATCGCCATCCTGTGGTCGTGGCAACAATGGACTGACTTGGCACATAAGTCAAACGACTGCGACAAGGCTTGCCCTCCATGAGCCTCTATCCATGTTCTATCAGAACTTCTTGCAGCAAACCGGCAGCACTGTTGGGCGCTGGGGTGCAGGCATCAAGGGCTTGAACGTGGCGTGGTCGGCTTTTGTATACATCCTGCATCAGGGAAGACAGGCCAAGAATCGAACAAGCGGCTTCGTTGGCGGCTCCCCGGTCCCCGTCCAAAGGGCTGTGGCGGCAGACGCCGCTGATGCCACGTTGAAGTGCGTCGAGCTTGAAGCCGAACCGAGCATGGCAGCATGCACTAATGTCTGCTATCTTTAGAAAGGTCGCCCGTGTGCTGCAACTCAAGCTGCGCCTAGCCTTGTTGTTGAGCTGTCTGAAGGACATACGGCGTGAAGCTGCGTAGTGCCAGTGGAAGCGTGCATCAGGTGCCATAGGCCATAGAGCTAGATGAGAGCATGAGCGGCTGTGGCCGAAACACACAGTTCGGGCAAGTTGGGCTGAGCCATGATTAGAAAAGCACATGATCCATTCGGTGCCGACGATGTGCACTCTGGGCTCTGCCAATCATCTGCGCAGCTGCTATCATGGCCCTGACAATTTATGAGCACGGACGGCGGTGCTTCAACGGACGTTGTGGATTTTGAGGACTGCAAGTGGTGCTCCAGCAGCAGCTCTAAAATGCAGGTACGTCTGGCTGGTGCGAACATTTCTCGCACGGTGTCTTCGACACAACAGCGAAAATTTTTCACAACGGACTGCTAGGCTGCGAAATAACGAATATGTTCGACAAGCCATGCCTGCCTCCCACGTTGCACCATCTGGCATCTCTGTGTCTGCGCAAGAAATCTGCATGTTTCACAGAGGCATCAGAATACCACTTGCACATGGTCCTCTTCCTCTTCATCCAGCTCTCTGCTGTCCTCCTCTTGTTGAGAAGAAAGGCTTGATTTCCTAGAAGGCGGTTCCTCTCCTCCTTCGACAGGCATAGATCGAGACATAAAGGCAACGGAAGAGCTCTCTTTCCAAAGACCAGACGGGCTTCGAAGGAATGAGACCTCCTGATCCTTGCTGACGTCACGGATCTGCTCACAAATTTGGTCCACTTGGCGGTCCAGCAGGCTGCTTGAACTGTGAGGTGACAGGGGCAAAGCAATGTTTGAACAAAGGCTCCGGTACATCTCAACAACGACTAGCGGGTCCCCAGGCAATCCCATACACCCAGCACGAACCTCGCTGTAGAAGCCTGGAGAGGGGAACTCAAAAGTTCCATCGCTCACCAGCACCCTGTCCCATGACGGAGGCAGGGCCAGGAGCAGCTGGCAGAAGTTTTGCTCTTGCAAACAGCCCCTTCCCACAACGATCACAATGGCGCTGGCTCTGCAAATTGCGAAGTCATGAGGCTGGAACACATGGCAGATCTCCAGCTGTAGCTTCAGCTGCAACAGCTGCTGTAAGACCAAGCTTGATGAAATCAGCTCGCCCCCCATACCAGAAGCCACCAGAATGCGGGCCTCTTCAACTGACACTTCTGGCACAAATCTCTCTGGGCAAATCTTCGCGGCTGCAGCCAGTTGCAGGACTGCTCGCTCTTGCTCTGCACTGCTGCTTGTCCGCTGGATATGGAAGACCTCCACCCTGTAAAGAAAAGCAAAAGCCGCCCGGACGTCTTCCGAACTGATTCCGTAGCCAGTCAGCATCTGCCAGTGATCATCCGGCCAAGAGTCAATGGTGCGCAATTCATCGTAGTCTGGAATACCACAGCCGTCGCAACAGAGGACCATCGTAGGAACCCCATGAACAAAAGCGGTGCTGATTTCTCCAACACACCAGAGGCTCCGAATGAAATCCGATGTTATTACCGCCAGCACCAGGTCACTCTTGGTCTTCACCGTGTCAAAAAGTGTCCCGAGGTCCCGAAGATTGTCCGAATCATAAAATATTTTGGCCCTCGTGATCTGCATCAGTACAATTTTCACATAACGGCACAGTGCGCCAGCACCTGCTTTGTGATGACTAAGAAACATTGAATATCGTTGGCTTGCACAAACGCGAAGTCCTATTGATATTGCTGCTGCCACGCTAACAATGCCCGGGACGAAGCACAGTATGCACATCAGCATCACAGCTATGATCTCCTTGTTGGCGTCATTGTCGACAGTGACCAGAGGCGCTGCCAAAAGCAGCACCACCAAGGTTGCACCAATCAACAGGAGTTCGCTCCAGTTGGCGCCGTTGAGTCGCCAGGGCCACAACAAGCACAAAATAGCAATGCGCGTGAGGAGGATGCTCCCAAAAGCCCACACCTGAAGCGCCTGCAAAGTTGAGAACGCAGACGGGATGCAACCACAGAGCAAGTTGGCTGCTGTCAGAAGCAAGCAGTACTGGTATCGGTCGGCCCGGAAGCGACCGAATAAGAATCGGTAGCGCTCCACCACTTTGATACCATCCCTTGACGTCATCTTTGCCGCATATACCCACGTCACATAGCCCATGCCAGCGAACATACTTGCTGGGTAAGCTAGGATACCAAGGCATGCGAAACAAATGAGCCACAAGTGCTCCTCCGTCTCCCAGCAAATAACCTGCGCATACGCGACGACCGTGGATGTACCGTTGGGGTTCTTGCGGCATTCAAATGGCTGCAGGAAGACAAGTGTAATGGATGTGAAGAGCGAGACAAGGACCAGACCGTGAAGACTGAATATAGGCTGGAAACTGATTGGCCGGCGAATCAACCGAGCCAACACCCAAGGTACCACAGTTACCAAAATAATGCATGGATATGCAAGAGCCTGGAGGAGGTAAATGGCAGCTGGCCCGTAATCAGGAGCAAAACAATGAAAGCCCATGTCCTGCAAGTCTAGGGACACGAGCGAAGAAATGAATGATAGTAGGGCCGCGACAGGCTCCATCCACTCAATCTCTAGTTGCGACACCACGTGCAGATTCTGCATGCATATCACTCCCTGCCCCGACATGACGAGGATGATCAACAATGTCGTTGCAGTCTGACGGCGGCGTGCTCCGCAAGTGTGCAACAAGTATAGCGTGCCCAGCACCACCACAACAAGCAGCCAGGGCAGAAAAATATGACCCTCACAGTCCACACAACCTTGCAATTCAAAACACGTCAACAGAATCGGTCTTTCATTTCAAAACAAAACATTGTGGATGCAACACTCCGGGCAACCACCATCAGCTGCCGGAGTGTATCCCAGCTGGCAGGCAGCGCAGGCTCGACCCACACGGTTCTGCGCACACTTCCCAGGCAAGCCTCAGGGAGAAGGTACTCTATCAACACCATGTTGGCTCTTGAGGGTTTAAGCTTTTGGGGTCTGGTCTGTCAATCTTAGGGCTGACATGGCAGGGTGAGTCTAGACTCGCACAAACGCAGCAGGACGAAGACTCAAACCTTCCGTAATCCCTTGATTCCCGAGTTCATAGGCCAGCCATATCTGCGGTTATAAAATTTTGTGATTTAAGTCTTGCTGTCCAAACACTGTTCCTTTCAGGAGCGCACGTTCGCGAAGATGCTGCTATCACATGGGCCCTTGTCGGTCTCATCTGTGTGCAGTGGGGGGCATGGCCTTAAGATGATTCGGACGCCTATTCACCCCCTTATGATCCACCCAAGGGTTGTATAACACCCTCAGTCAACAACCTGGAACACTTCGGGGCGATTTGGTCTGAAATACAAACCTACATCCTAACTCTCCGTTAAACCCCAGACACAACACCCTCAAACCCCTGTCCCAGATATCAAAGACAAAACCGAAACCCCAAAGCCTACACTCAAAACCGGCCGGCCAAGCTAAACCCTAAACCCTAAACCCTAAATCCACAAAGCCCAGACCCCAAATCAGAAGGGATCACCCTGCCTTCAGGGCAATGGTCGCGCGGGTGGCATGAAAACACCGAGTAGCTCAAACGGCCCGCGTCTTCGAGTTCCTGCTCTGGGGTGCATGGAGTGTGTGCTCCATCATTGCACCGACCCTCTTTGCGTCCTCCCCACTTAACCGCCAAAACCGGCCATACTTTGCCTTAAAACACACTGGCTTCAGGAATGCAATCGCTGCCTCCGCCCAAAAGCCTTGGAGCTGCTGTGGTCTCGTGGCACCGCCACTGCACGACCTTGTTTGTCTCTCCCCATTTCTTGCCTCCAACAATTTACCTGTCCAAATGCCTCTTGAAGCTCCCAGTTGCAGGGTTATAAGTTACAGTTCTACGATCCAGAATTACACACTTCACCGTCGCCTCACAATAGTGCCTGGATTGTGGTTCATGCAAGTATTGGGCTCACAGTCACACCGCAGAACAGAAAGACAAGCGACATGCCATCAATGCAGGGCTCACAGTCGCCAGTGACATCTTGCCAGAAGGAGCCCGGTGTACAAGCGCAGTCTCCAATGCTGCTTGCACCCAGGATGATTGTCGTCTGGAATGGACCGCACGTACCTGGGATTGACAAGTTTCCTTCTTGTTGCCTGGTCTCAAATATGAATCCTCATGTGGAACCAAAGAACTGTCTTTCAATGCCAGGTTGCGGCAGTCTGTCTTGCCTTCCTGCTCCTGATACTCTCCCTGGGGGCACTTTTCGCAAATCGTGGATCCAAACCTGCCTGTAAACGTCCCTGGGAGACAAACATCACACGTCACGGCTGCATAAGAGCTTTGAAGCGTGCCCGGCAAACAGGGTTGACACTCTGCTGTGTCACCAATGTCATCCTGGATGAGGGCTGAGTACATCCCGGGTGGACAGGGTCTGCAGCTCGTGTTCTGGTCGCGGATAGAGATGAAGCTCTGCTTTTCGACAGAATACATGCCATGGCCAGCCAAACACCTGGACTTCATTGGAACCCAGTTTTGCCATGCAACCTCATTATCGCGGAGCCAGGAGCATGCTGCGTGATGGGCTGTGTCAGGGACATTACCCGAATCCACCAAGCTGAGCAGCGTGTTCACGTCACCTACTTGCCACGACATGGCGCTGAGGAAGCTCTCGACCTCGGGGGCCCAGGTTGCAAGGTCTTTGTGCAAGAAGTTCTCGAACTCTGTCACACTGCGAAGAGTCGACATGTCTCCCATCAGCCACTGTCGGCTGTTGAAGGCTGGGAATGCAACTGGCTGAAGATGCAGTGAGTTGAACATAACATCCGGCGACCAATAATAGAGCAAAACATCGTGCTGAAAAGGAAGCCGCCAAAAGGAATCACTGGCGTCGCAGCCTCTGCCTGCGCCTGTGGCTATCGGCATGCTCCAGGTAGTAGCCTTGAACATGATCTCTGACGCGTACCAATTGTAACCCCATGAGTGACAGCTGATCAGTGGAATACACTCCTTACATCAGTTAGGACACCCTGAGATCCTGCTATGTGGGCCTTCAAGAGCAAACGCTACCAAAGAAACCCAAGAAGATCCTCCAAGAAGCTGAGCTGTTCTGACGACAAGTAGGCGCAAACCACCAATACTCGTGATGGCATTGCGCTCGAGTAACCCCAGCTGCATCCACCCGCACCCCACTCTCGTCTCCTGAACGCTCAACACTTCTAAAGAATCCACGTCCTGACTTCTTACAGGCATCCAAGAACTTTTTTCTTGGCACTCTGGGAAAACAAACTGGGGCACCCAAGCCAACTGACTGTGGGGGCCCAACGCGTCCTGTGATGTTCACGTACTTCTCTATCGCAAATCTGTCAAAGGTGCCCCAGTCCCAACATGAGACAAGGTCCGACTCGTTCACCTCCCAGATCCTTGAAAAGCTCTTCCAGCTATTTGCAAGGCTGTAGCTCCTGTCTGTATGCGGAACTTGCGGAAACAAAAATCAAAAAGAGGCCTTGGGTTTTCAGGCGTTCTGTCGCTTGGGGATTTTTTGCCTGTGAAGTTTACGCTCGATTCGGCTCCTGTAATACTCCAGGGCAAGACCTTGCGAATCGAATGCCTTTGCAAGCAGCGTCTGTGGGATGTAGATGCCCTGGAAGAGCCCAAAGCCCATGCTCATCCGATCCAGAATTCCACCAACGCGCAAACGCTGGACTTCGGCAAGCTGCGGCTCTCTGCCGACCATTAAGATGCCCAACATCACATGCTTTGAGCTCCTCCCGGTGCACACCCACTCGGACGCATTGGCTTCGCACCCGGCTAGCTGATAGAAATCGTCCACACCCGCCGTTGAAGACGTCAGAGGATACACTACCGCATGGATCCCCAGGACCTCCTCGACGAGAATCTGGACAGCAGTCGTCACAACAACATCTTGGGGGTTGCCATTTGGACAGAGTCCAAGAGGAAATTGCCCAGACCTGCCTTGCAAATATTTCCTCTCATTTGGAGGCACGGCACTGGGCAAACACTGCGTAGCTGCACTGGCCCTTGCCAGCAGAAGGATCTGCAGGGCAGTGTACATCATTTTGTTGGCGGTGCCATGGCTTTGCTAGAATTGCTAGCCCGGCAGGCAGCCAAATTTTCTCCAAAAAAGAAGAGCACCGTCAGGATCGATTGCGTGCAATTATGTACAAACCACATACATGCTCATCTTCGCAAATCTTAACTGTTGGAATACAACGAACTTTCTTGGGCAGGTGCATGTCCCAGCAAACTCCAGTCTCAAGGCCGCAGCAGGGAGTGTGACAAACTTGACGAGAGTTCTCTGATCACCGAAATACATGTCAAGAGCTTAACAACTACATGGCCACAGCAGTGAGACCTACAGGGCTACAAAAGAAACAGGGCTCCCCCTTACCAGAAGAACTTAAGCGCACACAAAAACCATGTCTCGCTCTGCTTCGCTGCTTTTTGGCGGGCGCGCAACACCAAGTGGCGCCAAGTTCCAAAACGCTTGAGAGGTCGTGGCATCGACCCGCGGACTCCCAGAAGCCAAGCTGGCACGAGGCCGCTCAGGGCGTGCCCGCCAGGGGCGCAGCCCACCTTGTAGCAGAGATGCATCTTGGGAGATCTTCGGAGAAGCAGTCCGCAACCTGCATTGCATCACAACATGCATGACTTGTGTCACTTGTCTCATGAAGTCGTCTCCGACGGTAGTTGGACAGCGAAGCTGGCCGTCCACACAATGCTGGGCCTCCGCCCGAAAGCTCCAACATCCAGTGCTGCTAAAGGGGGCCAGAAGGAAGGAGGCCAGCCAAGCAGAAGCACAACCCGCCCCTGAACCTGGATCAAAATATCACGAGGAAAGAGCCTCAGAAGCTTAGAGGCCACAGGCCTCGGAGGAGGCCCTTGGGACGCCCTACGGGCCTATGGCCTCTTTAAGCCTTTAAGCCTTCATCTTTGAGGCCTGGAAGATGGAAGAGCTGACTATGAGAAGCTGTGGAGTGGGCCGTGGCTTGGGCTTGGCAAACGGGGCCTGGCATTGGGATGGCTCTGACAGGCCGCAGTCTGGCGAGGAGCTGGCATCCCAGGCCCTGAACCCCCTGAGTCCCAACATGAACCCTGCAACCATCAGCTTTTCGGGTACGAAGCTGGAACCAATCCGACGGCTCGCACCCGGCCAGGCACAACACTCCCCGGCAAGTGCAAGAGAATGGGAAGTGCGGGGCACACGCACCAGGCCCGGTGCAGCCTCCACACGCTCAACATCTGAGATGAACCTCAGCCAGGAGCAGTGCACTGTCTTGCCTGCTTGCCGGGAGGTGCCCCGCGGTTTCAGGGGCTTTGTGAGCACAGCTCGTGTGCAGGAAGTGCAGCCTGAATCTCTGCTCTCGGGTGTTGTGAAGTATGCACAGAAGCTTCGTCAAGGCTTTAGGACATGTATTTGGCTGACTTCAGGGTTGGAGGCTTCGCCACAGGAATCCAACACAATAGACCGGGAACGCTTTGCAGTTTTTTGCCTGAGCGACGAGAGCTTGGGTCGGGACAGCAACTAACTGGCGACGGACCAGAACACTTGAGGGGCCTTGGGTGTCTGGCGGTTCCTGCAAGTCCTGGGCTTACCAACGTGATGTCCGCACATCTCGAGGTCTCTGGCTGTCATTCAGGGCGTAGGACGGCAGCCTGCCGTCGAACTGACTGCTCCCTGCCTGACAACAGGAACCCATCCAGCTCCAGCGTGCCGGGGCTTCCGCAATGGGGCTTTATGAAAGCCGTTGAAGCCCGTGGCCGCCCTAGAGTGTGACCGCACATCTGCATCCGGAGCCCGATGCCTGTTGTGGCCTTGGCCTTATCTTGTATTGCCTCGGTGCCCCCACCAAAGGACTTCGAGCCAGGAGCCCAATTGAGCCCGGGAAGCTGGTCTGTATGCTGCCCGGGAGCTGGCTGCCATCCTCGCACGCAGCTTCAGCGCCAAGCCGGCAGCGCCACAGTGCCCGGGAATCTTGAGACAAGTGCCCCCAAACACAAAATGATGCCCTACAGACGCGCCTCTGGCCGTACGGATGCGGTCTGAGCTTCTGGGGTGCCCTTGCAAGAAATCTTCAAACCTCCGACTTCCGGCACGCACTTGTAGAACGCAAAGGAGTCCGCCATCTCACTAGCCGCATCATGGGACAGCGCGGCGGACCTTTGCCAGGCATGTCAGAACTGTTACTGTGGAGGCTACATTCCTGAACTCTTCCTTATCTTGCGGAAAGAATGTGTCAGGCCTTGTAGGACTCCAGGAGCCTACATCCAGTTCCGACTTGTTGCACAAGCAAGACGGCAAGGGCTCTGTCTGTGGACGGTTATAGGGCTACACACGCCCTTTCTTGACGCTCCGAGTTTTCGAAAGAAGACAAATCCTCGAAAAAAACACTGCACGCAGGAATCGTGTGCCCCTCGAACCTAGAGCACTTCTGCTGGTGGACGGCGGGCCTCTGAATCCTTCACAAATGGCACAGCCTCCTCATGTGAAGTGAACCCAGGTAGGATCGCATCAGCTGTGAGGAACAGTCTTTGACTGCCTGCTCGCCCACTTTGAGGGCGCCATGCCTTGAGACGGTGGGGACGACCACGGGGAACGAATGATATGCGTCCACGGAAACGATACCTCAACAAGGCAAGCTGGGGTTGTAGGTTATAACATGCAGCCTTTGTTCTCCTGCGCGGCCCTGCCGTGCACGATGGCACTGAGAGATCATGGGATATCTTGTGACTTGATGCATGACCGGACTGCTGGCTTTCTGCCTTCCACCAGCTCTCACGGTGCCGGAGCACCGCCCGGTCCATCGACACCTTAACAACAGCAGCGATGTGTATGTGATGCGTGTGGTTGTGGGTCTCCAGCTCAAGACGCTTCAAGGGCCGTTGGGGTGGAGCCTGGATTGAAGACTCAAGTGGACATTCGAGGTCAAGACCCAAGACGTGATTACAAGATAGCCTGCTTGCACGCATATGCACCGCCAGCAGCCCACCAGGACTTCGGAGAGTCATCCGGCAGGTGAAGCTTCGTGCAACTGCGCCGGCGCAGATTTGCCAGCGTCGACACACTGTTCTGCATGCTGTAAAGAGATGTCTCGAGTGGCTGGATAAGGATTCGTCCTTCGTCCTCAATAGTCGGGTAACTGTGGCAATCATGCGGTTGGGTGGTGCATGCAGAGTCTTCAACATTCGCGTCCGGGTTGGGGAATGCTTGGCCCGATCCAAGACGACCTTTCTCCAAAGCTTGGCGATGCTGGACTGCAGCAACAGAGAAAGCTAGACGGACAAGCACGATGCAGGCACGGTGCATGACGGAGCGATCAGGGCTCAGTGGGGTTTCCAATGGCCAATGCGGCAACACTTGCAGAGGCCAATCTGTGGCGAAGCTTCACGGCCACACCTCATCCATGTTGGGGCCGCGGCGTGGCTCCAGGCCTGGCTTGCACATCGAGGGGGGAGATCGAGTGAAACGACACAAGCGTCTTCGCTCCCTCTTCGCGAGCTGGGCTCGGGCGGCTGGCCTGACTGTGGTAGCCCGGCCTGCAGCAAGGCCGACCAGCTGATGTCTGGCTCGCCAATTAGTGCGTTCTCGCGGCCGCGCTCGACTTAGCTGTAACTTGCGGCTTCCGCAAGTGCTCCTACCTGGACACGCAGGCCCAGTGCACCGCGGCAGGCACGCAGTTGCTCTCGCCTGTCGCTGCTGGGCGAAGCGGGGGAAGGCCGACGCCACCGAGCAGTGGTTTCCAGTCCTTGGCGGTGACGTTGCAGCGCGAAAATGCACGGGCCGTCCTGCGGCTGCTGAACTCCGACAAGGGCCCCATGCAGAATCTGGCAGACCCGTAACAACATTGGATTGCTTCGGCGGCTTCCATCTTCTGCTGCTCTGGCTTGCCCTTCGAACCCACCCGCTTTAGAACAGTCTCTCGCAGCGCTCGGCGCACGAACCCTTCCTACCGTGCCGTCCCGGAAAGTCGTTGCGTGCTGTGCTCGCGACGCCTAGCACGGTGTGTTTAGTTGCATGCAGGCATTCATTTTGTTTCCTGCAGCTGTGGAAGCCACCACAAGTGTCGGGCAATCGCCACAATCACAAGCTGAAGACAGATGAAGACACTTTAGGCCGCGGTCCTGGGAGGGAGAGTTTGGATGCTTTGATCCCCGGAGTTTTGACTACAGGCTCACTCTGGGTCGAAGACTTCGCCCAGCAGTCCAAGACCGTAGTGGTACTACGGGACGACGTTCCGTGCTTCTTCTCCAATCGAAGGTTTCCACGACACACGATTCCAAGCACCGCACAGCCAAGCGGAGTCGGTCAACTGCTGACAAAGCAAGCTAGACAAGCATGCTGCCACTGAGGCCGGATCATGTGGAACCACTAGCTGCTAGCTAAGCTCTACGAACCTTGGAGCACCTTTGCAAAAGTCAGGGTCCCAATCATTTAGAGGCCTAGCTGCCGCGAGGTTCATGGCCACGACAGGTGGGTGAGAGAGAGTTTGAGCACATTGCTGCTTCGAATCTCGTTAGCCTTAAGTCCTGTAAACTCACACCTCTGCGGTCCTATGTTCCCCAGACAAGCAAGATCTCCGTGTCACCATGCACCACGGCTTGCTCAAGCCGTTGTTGTGTTAGCGACGTCCTGGAGACGAGATGATTGCAAGCCCGTGTGCGCGTGCGTTCGACTAGCTGACTAGCAGCCTAGCACTTGGACCTCACCGAGGCCCTGAACTGTTGGATTTAGCTAGAGGGTCGACAGAACTTTCAATTGGTCAGCGAACTCCAGAGAAAGGTGCTGGTAATCAGCCTTCATGACCAACGAGGTCTCGCAAACTTTCTCACCACCCACAATGACCTCCTTGGCGCTGTGCTTCTCCGACAGTCCCAACATCAACAGCCTGGGCCCAAAGAGGAGGGGACGGCAGTCTTCTGGGCCGCGTCGGGCTCAAGCTCAGTGGCCGCTCAGGAAACGACTCGTATGTTTTTGTTCGAAGGAGTCACAAGGCACGGTGTTTACCTGGAATGGCTGTAAGTTAGCATGCACAGGCCACCTCCACGGGCAGGTTCGAA